CGTCTTTTCGCAAACAAGAATCAAATATAATTCTCACGTCTGGAACTGTGATCGAACTTTCGGCAACATTTGTTGCAAAAATAATCTGCATTAAACAAAATTTCATGAGGATCTCCAGCAAGCAGAAAGTAAAATGGAAGAACGTTCAACCGAATATTCACTTTTCGGTAGCCTTTTCTAGGTAACTGCATGGCTAAACATTGTTCGTCAATGGTGACGGTGGAGTGGAGTTTAATGATTGAAACTTGAGGATTAGGCCTTTCACCTTTACGGCCTGCCTCCCTTCTAAAATCATTATTATATTCGTAAAATGGATCAACCTCAAAAACTCCTGCAAATGACGAATAGAAGAATCTACGAATAGCTACCTTTGAAGGTCATTGAGAAACATTAATTGGTCCTCCTAGGGTATGTAAGGCTTTAATATATTTTTTCATAAATAACATGAATAATAAAGATAGAATCTCACCAATTCAGAAATGATAGAAATTCCCGGAAGAAAAACCAAGAACGCCTCCTCAACCGGGGAAGTTACGTGACAATGAAAGATCCAATCTAAAAACAATTCTCGACGTTCTTGCATCATCGAAGGTTTTCTGGGTTCACTCAGTGCCAAGTTTCTGAATGCACTGGGAACCCGCAATTCCTGACAAATATCTTCCAAGTAAAATACATCAACTGGGAAATTTTTAACAGGTACATCTATACAAGGAATCTCCGAGGATAACCTTTTCCTTTCGGTTCCAAACTCATGAAAGTACCTCTTAAATTTCTTGACATTCATGGTAGCCTAATTTTACGAGTCAAATATCTATTCATTTAATACAAATTTGAATGAAAAGCATTCAACATAATCCAATTGAGAACCCACCGACATAATAATTAATTTTAAAGATGGATTTTGCCTCATGATGACGCAGAGGTGAGCCATCATTAAATCGTCATCTACATTACGCTCGTGTATCTTGTACACGTAGAAAAGCCAAATTACCGTTAAGCAGTTCATTTATCGTAAAGCTCAAGCCTAAACGCGTACCTCGTCCATAATCACATGAGTATATGATTTCAAA